ATGATAAAATAAATAGTTATACAAATGTTTATAACTTATATGTCAGATAACACTATTCAGAGATTATAGTAGAATTTCATATGTCCAGTCACAATATTAAACTAAATTTCCACTCGTCATACCCTTAAAAAAATCTAAAAGTATAAATACATCACCTTCCATCTTGTATCTTCTGCCTTTCCTATTCATCCTCCTCCCTTTTCCAAATACTAGCGAGCCTGCGAGAGCATTACCTAAATAAAATATTATAATTTGTTACGTAAAAGATTCTATTTGTCGAATAAGCATACAGGACACTAATGTACCTGTTGCATAATCACTAAGTATACCTACCTATCTAAAATAAACATACAAATATACAATTTTAAAATCACAATAGAGAAATAAATAATTTATTTTAACATATTATGCGAATAATGTACAGAATACCTACATATTTTTATTTTATAGGTAGGTAGGTTCCTATACGGGCTACAACAAACAAAAACTTGAAAAATAGTAACAACAAAACTTAATTACATTTTAACTTATTTTTTACACTTACTAGGTAGCTAATAGAGTAAGAAAAAACTGGCATATTGGAATTTGGTTTTTCATAAAAAGTATAATGTTTACAATAACAAATTTACTTATTTAAGGTTTTTTAATGGAAAAGTAATTTCGTTTAAATAATACTTTTATAATTTATACAAATAATATATATTATAATGTATAAGATTATATACATATATAGGTAAGTATCTACAACATTTTTATATCTATAGTTTATCATTTATTCGAGTGAACACATGTCTAGCAAAATTATTTGTGTATTCACTGCACTTAAATGTGCTTCTAGAAAATCTCTTTAAAAATGGCCTGTATCATACTTCATACACGTATGCAACACTGTACTTGCAACATGTACCAATTTAAATGACGTTTTTTTTCCAACTGAGTCAACAAGTTACTTTACTACAGGCCACATGGTTTTGTGGTTTGGGGGGGGGGGAGATAATTATATAAATTATTTCCTTATAGTACCTATACACAATGCAGAGTCATCACATTTTTCATCAATATTTTCAAAGGGTTGATGAGATGGAGAGGGGGTATGAAAAAAGTCGTCTAGAGGCACCAAATAGCTCGACACAGCGGCTCTGATTTACATTTACTGTACACCGTAAATATTATACACTGTATCGCATGACCTAAGCGTCGTATTGAACATCTAATTGTTATCTAATTTTTTGAAACTTTAACTTTTGGATTGATATGTTTGAAATCATGACCGTTGGTGTCGGATCGTTATAATGTACATGTACATATTATTATGTATAATATACACACGCCACGGCTTCACCATTGTATTATATAAAATTAGTATTCATAGTATACGAGAGCATTATTATAGCAGTATGATATTATTATTATTAGTAAACACCAACGTGGATAACTACAGGACCTGCACCAGAGACAGGATCAGGAGTGACTGCAAGATTATAGATGCTGCAGGATCAGGAGTCATGTCGTAGTTACAATATCGCGATTACTGTCCTCGTGTATGCGGCGTATTGGTGGAAGTTGTGTGCAGGTACACTTCCGATATTCCGTTTGCGGTCGCGATCACCGTCGAATCGGGTTACTAGGTCGGACGGCGGCCATCTAATACACGGCGGCCCTCGTAGTAAAAATAATAATATATTATAATTTATATTTTACATCTTCTGGTGCTGCTCGTTGTAGCAGCGGCGTCTCGGCGTGGTAAATCGTTTCGACCTAGTTCTGCATCGACCCCGACGACGCGACACGACCGTCCGTTTTCCGGTACATCTACCTAAGTGTATTTTATACAATATAATATACTTAGGCGTGTGATGTATAGGTAGTTAAACATATTATAACATTATGTTCTAACGAAATTGCCTCGTCGTTCGAAATAGGTACTATAAAAACTGCCATAATCGAAATAACGTATTGTTTTTTTTTTTTTGCACAGGAGAAACGTTTGTGCATTTTCCTGTCACCATTATGACCAGTGACTACGGTTCGTATTTTAAATATATTATAATAATTTTCAAGTTAAATAAACAAGATGTGAACAGGAAAAAAATATGAGTTTTTCAAAAGTTGTTTTCTTCGAGGTGAACCCGATTTTTTTCATGAAAGTCGAATTTGAACTTCAACAATCGATTTGATATTTTATTTTAATTGTAATAGTTATGAACGCGTGTGAATACATCGATTTTTTAAAGCTTGTCGGTTTCCAAGCGGTGAATACTGAGTTAAATTTATAATTTACGATAGATAACGCAAGGTTATCACTAATTAGTAATTACCTATTGTTAGTTGTTGTTGGTACTGTGTGATGATAAAATATGTTATTGTAAATTCGCGTATACAGGTAGCGTACAACTGTTATTATCACATTTTATGTCTAAAATCAAAAAAAAAAGTTTATAATATAACCTAAAACTATTACTGGCTCGAGGCTATGCTCAAGGTAACTTTCTATTTTAAACCTCATCGATAAATTCTAAAACTTCTAATTTCATAACAAATAATAGGAATATTTAAAAATAATATAAATCATAAAATGCATGATTACGTTAATTGTCAATTGGTTATTTTAGCATCGAAATACAGAAAAATGGTGCTCTCCATTTTCCATAATTATATTATCTACTGATATAGATATTTTTCTGTGTATTTTTTTCATCCATTTGTAATTAATTGAATTTTAAACAAAATATAAACCTCGTTATAGTAATTTGTTATGAAGTATGTCAGCGAATACCTAGGTATATTTGTATTAAAAAAACGTCCTTTAAGGTTGTTATAATTGTATAAATATAAAGAACCTTCATTAAGTTGACCTACAGTTTAAAAATATAAAACTTGTTAAAATTATAAAAAATATTAATTAGAAAATAGGTTGATCAAATAGATTTCAAATTAAAACTCGTTAATAACTAATATGCAATAACAGCTGTACATGATCATGTATTAACTTGTGGTTTTTTTAAATTTTTTTTACTATCGACAGTTGTATTAGCAGTTTTTGATTTCCAAAGTGTTCTGAAACTTGGTAACAATAAATAATACTGCCTTTATACAGGTAGTAGGTACTACTGTATGAATAAAAAAAATTTTAAAGAAATACAAATGAATATCTACATAAAATATGACTAAAATATTGGTTAATTTTACAGTATCATAGAAAATGTTTTCATAATTTTACTAAGGCTGTATCTCAAATAAATACATTTTTATTTTTATATGTTATTATAGTACTATGTACATTCTAAAAAAATGTTTTTGGTGGACAAAAGAAATCAAATCAAAAACACAAATTTGACGATCAAGTGATAACAGGATGGCTACTATTTCAGCGATTCAATGACCATATTATAATAATACTTTGATAATTAGGTATGAAGGAATAATTATTCCGAAAAACTTGAAACGGAATTGTATTTGCTTGTTTGGAGAAGCCATATAGTTTACAATAATTACAAACAAATTACTGCTTCTTTAACAGCATTAAATAACAATGTGCTGCTGTATAACTTACAATTGAACAAATTGTAAATAATTATTGTATGAGTATATAGGTACATATTATTTTTAAACCATCGATGTCTTATTGTCTTCATTCAGATTGGTGGCTTTCAATAGGTATTCACATTCAATATTAAGTAGCCTTATTGTTTATTTTTCGTCACCAATTCAGTTATTATGACAATGTGTTGAAATTTACTGCTCGATAACTAAAAAAATTAAATATCAATTTTAAATTAGGAAATAAATACATTTTAACGAAAATATTCATAACAAATTATATACTGTAAACAAACAAAATCAATAAGCAGTAATTTATAGTATTGGTAAGTATTTTAGACTTTTAATCATAAATTATACAATGAAGAATGATATAGTGTAGGTATAGTTATTTTCATACTAAAGTTATTAAAACACAATTTTCCAAAGTTTACAATTATGTAAAATAATATTATATTTTGTTGAACAAAAAAAAGTTGTTTAACTTATTATTTATTATATATGTGTACAATACGTACCTACCTACATAAGATAATCGTGAAGTCACTTAGTGACTATAATTAACTAAATAGTTTATTTAGATAAAATACAATTTGATCATTTAAGTATACATCCAGTTTTTAAATACCATGTTATAATATTATATTTCTTGTGCATTATATAGGTTATAGGTAAGTGGTAACTGGTAATGACTTTGATCATGTGTTTTGGTAAACAATTGTTACACCAATATTGACATGGCATAAGATAACAATATTAAAATATTTTTTACCGTTTTAATTTTAATACTTACATTTTGGGTTCGCCTTTATAACTATGTACAAAAGCTATACAATAATACATTTAAAAATTTTATATGGGGCTTATAATATTATTATAGTAAATAAATATATTATTACATATTGAATGTAGTATTCTTAATTTAAAACTGTAAGCCAATAATGTATGTTGTTGAAATGTAAAAATAGAAAAGGTTAACGAGCTAATTAGTATTTTTGAATTATGGACGAGAAGGGGGATTGTGTGTTTAATCAAACAGTAATATCAGATAACATTATAGTTTGAATCTTTTTTTGTATTTAACATCATAAACTTATAATGATGTAAATGTTGAGAGATTAAGGTGTTTGGATACGCAACATAATGTACACGAATGACAAAATCTCATTTTGTAAACCTCAGTTATGTACGGACAAAATCTAAACCTTTTTGTCAATAAACACATATGACACACGACCAGGAAGCGCCCAAAATGTTTACAAATATAATGGTATTTTTATATATATTTTTACAATACAACATGATAAGTAGTATAAAGTATAATATTAATAGTCTTTAGATAATCTTAATGGTAACAAAAATAATTTACCGTGATAATATTTTAGGTACCTTAAGTATTGGCGAAAATTCTATATGCTTAAAAAAATTAGAACTTATAATAATAATTTTTTAACACCGAATAGTATTTAAATTCGATTTTACGTAAACCGAAAATATTCTATAATAAAACGCAGAAAATAGCGTATAAGTATAACTTACATAATTTATCAAAGATGATAAAACAATAATTATAATGATAATAATAATAAAAAAACATGCTCAATTTGAAGGTAAGGGTATTGGTAAATACTATATACAAAATATACACTAGTTAAATAGAAGTATATTATACACATAAAAATAAATATTGCATTGGTTTATTATTTTTACTCCAATGTTTTATGGATACGAAAAGTAAATATCCTTATAAAACAATATTTCCAATTAACATCGATAGAATCGTTGGACACATTTTGTACAATAAATATTAATAATAATAATTATTATTATCCACCTTGATTTTGTATCAGACAATTACCGAACAATAGATTTAGAAATATTTTATCCGTCGACCTCTATGTCTAATACAGTGGACTCAGCAGTTTGTAGAGAGTTCGTCAATAATTTTCTTAGTGGTTGCCACTGGACTCGGGTATCTTTGGCAAGGTGGTGGTCATCATTTTGCAAATGTCGTTAAAGCTGATCGTTCCTTTTTCTTCCAGATCCTTCCAGTATTGATAGTTACTCCTCATGTAGTATAACATCTCCGGCATGTCTATGAATGCTGAAAAACACAATAAAAGGTATGTTCTAATAAATATTGATCTATAGAATTATTTGATCAAATGATACTAGTATTGGATTTGACGCTACCTACTTATAAACGAAAGTCGGGGGGCTAGCGGCCTTTTTGAATTTTGATAATTTTACTGAATCTTTTCAATTTAGTTGTCATTATAATATAACATAATACAACATAATACAATAATTATTATGCGTCTATTTTCAACCTTTAGTTACCAACTTAAAATAAATTCATCTGAAAGCCTTGATATAGCAATTTATTGCAGCAGAAAATTTTCTTAAACTGAATTTTAATGATAGAACTTGTTTTATCGATAATTATAAAGTACATTTAGAAAACTAAAATATATTTTCATTTACAAAAACTGAATATTATAAATCCATTTTATAATTCCTAGGAATTAGGTATTGAACATTGATTCTAATGCTATAAGATGTGATCACGCCTATGTACTTACAGTCCCACGTCTCAAACATGTCGTTTATGATGTAGTCCATGAAGCCGATTTGAGATTTTGGTATGGAACACGACACTCGGTCAAACATTGGCATAACCACTGGCAAATGATTGAGTTTCTCTTCGTCAGTCTGAAAACAAAAATTAACACTCATTAGAAAATTTTTTATAAAATGACACATTAAAACTAAGTATATAAGATTGTGTTTTTTTTTTACCAATAAGCTTTGTACATTCTTATACTGTATATTATTCTTGTAGTCTATTTGATGAAAATAAAGTGGTAAAGAGTGCCTAATTTTCTAATGATATTTTTTTATTTATTTATATTAGGTACTATTAGTACCTATAATAATAATACTATTTATTATATTATAATTATCATATACCTAATAATGTATCAATATTATAATATTCATATTCACTAATAAGTCAATACCAACAACGTACTTAGTTTAGAATAGTATGAATAGGATTGTGGTATTAGTAGCTTGAAATTAGTCTTCATGTTTATAATATATATACATATATATTTTTTTTATGTTTTTACCGAGAAAAAATTGTTTCATCAAAGTGTATAAAAAATAACTATAGATTAATTAAACATACATTAGCACATACATAATACATTTATAAGAGTTTATAAAATTATATTTCAGCTCTTGTTTGAAAAATAATAGTACTGCATTATTTTTATATACATCAATCAAACTTTTAGAGGAGGGGGGTGCAAATTTATAAACACTTTCTAGGAAATTTATTACTACACTTAAAATTTCTGCTACATTTTGTATTTTCATATCCTGCACGCTACATTGCAATATTTTGACGCAGGTACTACACAGCACACAGTGCATGGGCACAAACACAAGATTTATCGTGTAAGTACGTACCAATATACTTAGGGTTATTAGGTATCAACTACCAAGACATTAGGGACATATTATATTTAAATACTTTGTTTCTACATTAACTATTCTCTTAAAATAAGAATATACACATATAATTAACATATTATAAGAAGTCCTTTCATACTTGATTAAAGTATTCCTCGGCAATCCGTTTGGCCCATTCTACGCACATCTTTAGTGGTCTTGTCGGATTGGACACGTCTGCGCATTTGATTAACATCCTCTTCACCAGATTTATTTCCTCGGCACTGGTAGGCATTATAGCCTCAGGACTTACTTCGCTAGGAGTCTAACATAATTTTATAGAATTAGCGTTTCATTATCTTAAAGGTATAATAGGTATATAATTCAGTTGTAAAATATGATGTTGGGAGGTTGGTTCTACTCACTAATCCATCGACGGGCGCTTCGTCGAGTGTCGATGGTTTGTTGCATACGCTCACGAATTTGGCTAAATGTTCGAAATGTTTCGTCATCTCGGTGGCCAATATCATGTCGATAATGTTCTGTCTTACCACTTTGTACGTGTCTTTTTCCAGACCTAAATGCATTTTTATTTTTCTGAGTAAACTAAATTTGGACATCAGCCAAAGTACGTACCTTTAAAAATGTTCAACCGTTCGTCCTTAGTAGTGAGCTTAAACGTTAAAGCGGCGTGGTGCGATTCCAAAACGCTTATGTCGTTGTACAGGATAGCCAAATCGTTTTGGGAATTACATAAGAATGCGCTAATGAAAAAATAATACATCATCACATTGCCAAATGGTTTAAGTTTGGTTTTGGTGTGGTCTAACCTCGATTTTCCGGGATGATCGATGTCGTGGGTGATTGCTGCGATCAGACAGCATGCCTCGTCTAATTGATCTAAAAGCCTCTTTATGCGATCTTTTTCCAAAAACATGGCAGTCGCTTGAAGAACATCGGCGGCGTGTGTAGAGTTGTGATAAGTATTTTTAGCGTGATAATGACCCTCGACCACAGTTAACCAGGCGTGCAATGTTCGTTCATCACAGCCTAATGTTTTGTGTACTTCAAAATGTGTCAGTAGATTCATTCCCAGATGTACCAAAGGTCTAAAATTAAGAATAACTAATTTTTTTTTTTTTTATTTAAATTGAAAATAATATACAATAAAATATAATTGATACCTACTATACAGAAAAAAGAAATATAATAAGACAAATACGATGTACCCATCAAAATTATTTTTTGGTTGTTTGCTACTTGTATCGCTAATATAAAAAAAACATTAAGAAGAAAAAGTTTTATTTAATCATTTATTCCTAAAATGGTGATGTGGCAGTGGGGCTTCACTGTCATATTTATAGCAATCAAGTTTAAAACCTAAAAGTGAAACTAATAACGTTTCGTAATAGTAGATGATCAACTAATGAATTTTATGAACTTGTTGGCCAAAATATTTACTAATTTTTACCATGGTAATTCAAAACATTTATGTATCCGTCACCTTTTCATAGTAAGTTCTTCGAGTTTAAACACGTTGAAGTCCCAATACAGAGACATGTCTAAGAGTTCTTTGATTTGAGGAGTTACACTTGTCATAAAATTCATTTTAGCAATACCCAAACCGTAAGGCTGGCTCTTAACAGTTGCTGAATCATTAGAGCTTCTTCGAGTGGATGTTACGTGCACAGGCCCTTGCTAAAATAAAACAAAATATATTATTTAGTATTATATATTTACATGGATGTTAACACAATTATTATGTTGTCGAAAAACAGTACCGTAATAAGAGCTCCGATTAGATCTGACGTAACGGGATCATCGTATTTGATATTTTCGGTTTTTAAATGTGACGAGTATAGTTCAGTGACACGCAATATATCAACAACCTATAATATTATATAATTTGTATTTTTTTTCAAAATATATTTGTACGTCAATAATAATGAGACATAAACCTGAGATTACCATACCTTATCCAAAATTTGTACGACTTGGTCGTTTGAGTTTTCTTGAGCGGTACATATCAATGATATTACTTTTGTGATTGGCGCTTCAAGTGGCAAGTTATGTAGTTTTGCCAAACTTTGTCTTCGAGCTGACTGTGCGCCTATTATAGAAAAATCTAATAAATTCAATTTAGAACTGATAAAAATTTATGTCACAAATTTAACAATTGATGTTAGATTCTGAGCGGAGCGATGAATGTAATGATTTTACAAAGATTTTTAGTTTTTTTTTGTTTCTTAACATAATTTTTCTGGTAAAAAAAATGCTTGGATTTTAAACTTTGAGGATGGTTGTTGATAGAAAGTTGAATCTAGTTTGTACTATGAGGGACTAAAAGTAGAAAATTTCAAGTGTTTTACAAAATAATCGCGAAATAAAAGGAATTTTTACGTAAAATCAGTTTTCAACAAAATTTATTTTGTATTTTTTTTTGTTATAACTCTAACTCAAAAATGAATAGCTGTAAATAATTGACATTGTCCCTAAATGTTTGTATTAGAATTTTCTAAATATTTTGACTCGTTTTGAGCTATATATAGACATTTTTATTTGAGGAATTTGACATTATCTATTTTTTTTCAATACATGTCGATAAACGATTTTTCACTCTGTCAAAAATCTTAAAATTGTAATGCAAGGTTTCTCATAAGTTGTTCATATACCAACTAAATAATATCAAAAATACATAATCACAAAATTTATCAAAATTGTAGTTCATAAAATCTATACCTAAGATTTGAACATTTATTACACAGAAGTTATCATGAGTAGTTAATTTAAATTTTGGACATTGAACAGCATTTGATATTTGAACGAAGAATAACGATTTTAATTATTTTGTTGTAATTTAAAAATATTATTATTGACTACTTGAAACTTTTAATTTATTATATTATTATAATTTATACTCATAATGGTATATTGACATTTCAATATGCAAAGTTTTCGATAAAAAACAATTCAATCTACTGTATTACTTTAATTTTAAAATAAACAATTGCCTATATAGTAGCAGTTTAAAATATAAATGTAGTCATACGCTGACCGTCTTCGCTCAGAATCGTTTTTGGTATTTAATGATATATTATAGAATTCAAGTTTAACAAATGATTCCCGCAGTGACTTATTCATTGACAATATACACCTACTGTATAGCTGAGCCCTAAGCGGTTACCTACTTCCCCTTTTTTGATAATATTTTGTATAATGGTGGATATATGATATTATTATAATAATATACAAACAAATAAGTTGTAAGTTTAACTATTCACACACTCATATGTATGTATAGGTACACCTAACATATAGCGAACGTATGAGTTTATTATAAATATGCAAAATCATTATTATATTTATTAGTTTTAATGCAATTATTAAAATCTTTAAATTATGATTGGGTGGTGTTGTAAAAGGCAGGCATAATTACACCTTCATCGTCAGCGTATTTTCCTGAAAGGGACCACATAATATTATAACAATTTATTTTAAGGTTCTAACATATTTGAATCGTTCAATTATTATGATTTAACTTTTTGAAAGGTATGTTGATAAAATACAAAGAAAAAATGATATACATTAGATTTGGACATTTCAAAAACGATTATAATAGTCCATTCTCGTACGAAATGGAATTTACAAAATATTAAATTGACTGGAAAGATAATAAAACTTGGTTTTTATAAATTATGGTATGTAATCAGAAATAATACAGCTTTTATAATAATAGACACAGCTCATATTGGCTGTATGTCGATGAAATATCTAGAGAAAATATTATTCTATATAATTAAATATAAAATACCTATTTTATAGTATAGTCATTAATTGAGTAGTTTCTACTACTGGGAAATACATTTTATTTTTATTTGTTTGCATTTTAACATTTATGTGGCGTGTTTTCAGTGTTCTTCAATTATATTTTTTGATGTACCCTAAAGGGTCACAATAAGTATTATAATACTTAATACATATATAAATTATGGATCTATTAAATTATATTTTACTCTTAACAGAAATGCTTTAAAAAGTAATTTTTGCCTATTACACGGGTACAATATTTGGTCGTAATCAAGGGTTTTTGTGTAAAAAGGGTTCAGACGACATTTATGTGTATATTTAATTAATGATAGTGGAACATGATAAAAGTTATTTATCAAACCATGTGCGATTTATGTGTGGGTACTGTGTATGCAATATATTTACCTGGTAGTTTTAAACAAAATTATAAAATATACACTTATAGTCTCAAGCCTGTAGGTATAACATGATTATTTTGACTACATTTAGTCATAATTTAGCTACTTCAAATTAACAATAAATATTATTACTTTAATCCACTGAATTCATTTTTGTTCACATTATTTTTAGTTCATAATAATTTTGTTGAATAATATATTACATTTACACAAATGTTTTAATGATAGGAGTAACGTAAGTTCTTGTGTAGAGATTCACGCAAAGTCTTCTTAAAATTGTTATTAATTATCATATAACAGACGGAATTATTTCTATAAATAAGTTAAAGTTTGTATTATTAATCTATACAACAGAGTTTTTGGATGACTGATTTTCGTGGATTTATTTAAAAGGGAGTTTGTTTTAAAATATTATATTTGATAATGCCATGTAAAATAATAATTATTAAATAGTATTTTAGATTTTGAATTTAGCCGGGAAGTTAATGGTTGCATAAATAATGTTGAATTTCTTGTTGATGTTTTTTACCCAAAACCTTTCAGGCTCAAGAGTTAAGGATAATGTTGAGTTATAGTTTAATGTGGTTACAAATCGAGTACAATTTTCTCTTTATAAGGCTAACATAAAAATCGTGTATAATTTTTGAATTTAACATAAAATTGTACAAACAAACATGATACACAGGTAGTCTTTTAAAATATAAATAATTCCATCATGATGTTTTACATTTTTATAATCTCACTAGCACTCTCCAGTTTTGTTAAAATTAATCTAGCCATCTATCGTTTTTGTTTTTACAATAAAAGATGTGAAAACCCATTAAATTCGATTCATCCGTTTAGGAGCCTTTCTTGGATAAACAGACAAGCTGACAGATAGACAGGTTGACAGACAGCCAAATGTATCTGTACGTGTACTTCAATATCACATTTAACTATGTATGTTTAAAAATCAAAATTTGAATACTTTGAAATTGTGATACCCAAGAGAAGTAAAAAAATTATAATAAAAATATAGTATCATGTATGTTTGCTAAAGAGTTAAATTTTCACACATGTTGAGAAGATTGGTAACAATGTTTATTATCATGTTTTTTTTTGTTTCGAACTTTTATCTATACTGCACTAGAATTGGGGGCATACTCGTATAATTAAGCTTTAGAAATGCAAGGTTTTTCCTAATTAATCCTCATTTATATTTATATAAATTGTTCATGAAAAAAAAAATATATCCAACCATAGTAACTATTTAATTTTCTATAACCAATAGGAACTCTGCTATATATAAACAATAAAATATTCGATTTTCGTGAGGCAGCAAAACTTAATTCATATGAGAGGCATTTTGTAGCAGGACCTATAGGGGTTGAAAAAATAAGCTTAAAACACCCTTCAAGTTTTAAGGAATCTATTGATATAACTTTTATTTATATTAATCCAGTTATTTCTAAGATTAGTCATTAGCAAAAAACTTATTTCAAATTAATGTACAGTCACCCTAATTTTGTTTTTATAATTATTTTATTTACTTTAACCAATAGCAACCACCTATACAAAAAATATTAGATTTCTGTTTGCTTAAACAATATCTCTGGGTGAACTTATCTTAAAAATGAGAATTTTTTTAAATATTTTATTAGTGCACCCTTACATAGAAAATATTAAGTCTCTTGCTATCATAGTTTTGGCTGTACGTGGTTAGTTAGTCAGGAGTTCAGGATATCTCCTTTTAAATATACATGTGTATTTATCGTGATGAAAAAGTCACTTTTATACCTTATAAACTATAAATGTACGGATTTAATTATTTACCATCGCTGTTAATAGATTTGAGGTCATATGATCCTTTACGAATGGATGGTACACTTCCTCTTGGAAAACCATGTACATCTATAATACTTTCTTGTATATATATGTAGTTTGTTGTTTCTCTGAAAACCAAAACCTTTAATGAGAACATGAGTTATTGAAATAAGACCAAAGGATTACTAGTTCGTTTTGTTTTATAACGATATTCACACCAATAGGTACGTAATGTGAAAATTTTAATATTCATTCAATTTTTACCAATTCTTTTTTTTATTGAGGAAATACGCACATTTTACAGTAAAATTAATATTACAAGGAATTATCAAATTGTTTATGAAATAAAAAGTACGTTTAGTAGTCATATACAGTGTATGTATAATATGTGTAATACAAAAACACGTATTTATTAAAACACATTGAAAAATTAATAAAAAATGTCCTTCTTTTTGAGTTGACTTTCTTTAGGTTTGTTTTTCTTATTTGAAAATTAGAATATTTATTTACTTATAGATTATTTGTTCGAGTTATTGATTGAAATATCCTGAATTTTAAAAATGCATTTCGGGTCATTTTTAACAATTTAACTTACTTGCCAAACGGTCGAAATGGGGAAGCTCGGCAATGTAGGTACACGTGTTCGCCGCTCTTGCACTTCCACGATACTTTACCATCCCATTCGATGTTTTTCTCTAGCTTTTTGGTAATTTGGTCGATATCACCCAGCTGGTGGAATACAGCCAGCGGTCTGTTTATAACGTCTTCAGCGGTATATCCCAAAATCACCGAGCCCGACTTATTCATGTACTGCAAGGTTAAACATCAGCATTATTTACATGATATATTGGTATGAAATGGTTCGAGAAATGGTTAATAGTTGTAATAACATCCTTTATATATGCAAATAGTGTACATATAAGTCGTAATAGTAAATGGAGAATTAACCAAGAATGGTCCTATTGGGATAACTTTTTCCTGATTGTCTTTTGAATTTGTTTCGTTGGCGTGGTATTAAAAAGAAAAATAGATTTTTCCATTTACAACACAAAATAACGCTGGACCACAAAATGGATATTGACCAATATACTAGAATGCAATATTTCACGTTTAAACCTATTTAGGTTAGAAAAGAGAATTTCTTAAAACATTCTAAGTACCTAATAAAGATTTCACATCATTGTAACCTATGAGAAAAGCAACATGTAAATTAAATTTTCAAATAGTAAACTATTTATCTCTTAGTAAACCATACTTTGTCGTTTTGAAATAAAAATAATGTGACACTGTATTATGACACAAAATAAATATATTATTTAACAAACAGGTATTTAAAAAGCAGCAGTAAAATTACCAATAATTATTAAAATTTTTGCGCAATAAATAATAAGTGCTGTTATCAGTCATTTAATAATTTATATTTTATATTTTCTTTCAATAAGAATTTTCTTTGTTGACATAATTTACTTTATAAATTAGAAGGCCCCATTTCAGTTTTTATTGTTTGGTAAAATCTATTTGTCATTTATGTCGTCGATAATTAATACAAATATGACACTTTATGCTTAAATAGATTTAACAGTATGATATTAATAATACAATTGATTTTAAATATTATTATTGTAACTTTTGATCAGAACATGTAGCTTATTCGGTGTTAATCAATTTTCAGTAAATTGCAATATATTATAGTTATAATTGTATAGGTTGGGTATAAAATAAAGCTAAATTAATTTTTTTTTCTACTTATATTATTAGTAAAAAAACATACATTTCTGGACGCTTATTTTTATGTTTTTAAAATTAGTTTATCCTTCAAGAGAACAGCGGTAATTTTTTGTACTAAAACGTGTTGTCGAGTACAAAACTTAATTGAAAATTAAATTGTTTTTTAAATTATTTGTCTGTATAGTTATGAATATTATATAATTACATTTCAGAATTTAATACTATGAAGTATACTGACTATATTTTAACTATAATGAAACAGTTTATATATTGTACAAACTATGACAGGATATCGACAACTGACTAGAAATAAAATAGCATAAAATGATGTTTTAAATTTTAAAAAAAGTTAATAGGGTACATTATGTACTATATACAATGTAAATAGCTTCCACTAATAATGTTGTGTATGTATCAATAATTACCCGAGGGGTAAAGAAAATGAAACGGAAAAAATATTAGGTACATGTTTACATAATTTTACATATACACTAGGACAGCACAATTTAATATAGAAAATAATAATCTTATATAAGCTTCACGAATGTTTTCTAAAATGATAGGTTTTAAATAAAGCACAATTCTGATAGTTGTATTTTTTTTATTATTATGTACTTGAAAAAATCTTTGTGTTATTTAAAAAAAATAAATTCTACATATATAAATTTGTATATCTATTGACGCCATTATCTTAGTGTACGTAATACAGGTGTCTATGTAATTTTTTATACAGTAGGTAATTGATAATTGGTTTAAATTAATATTATAATATTATGAAGAGTTAACGAATGTTTTATGTACTTAGGTTTCATGAGAAAATATAAAATAGTTAAGTTTGTATCAGTTCTATACTATAGTTTATAACTTGGCATTTGCCTAGTGCATTATTAAGGTAAACAGGATAAACAGATAGAAAAAATTTTAGTTAGGAACTTCAATATTGAAAATAATATGTTCACTCTAAAGTGGCTATCTGAAATCGAAATAAAATCAGTTTGGTAATTCAAAAGAACAGATTTTAGAAATATTTAGTATTTACACAATGTATAGTATGCCTCACTGAATCTTACCATAAGTCAAAAGTTCAAACAAGAGTACATGCACCATTATTATTTTATTTTTTTGACACCAGTTCAGTACAAATTGGTGGAAATTGGATTTTTCTTGAGAACAAAAGTGGTCGTACTCCTCCAATATCGAAAGGAATACAAACAAAATCGTTGAACCTTCTCGAAAACGTTAAAGTAAATACTACTAACAGTTTGGTAAATTCTTTTATTATTTCATCAAATAAAATTGGTTTAAATATAAACTTTTGTTCTACTAGGCAGTAAAATATTTGGTTACAATCTTTTTTTCTAATACATTAAATATTTATGTTATTTCAATTTAAAGAGTATTATATTAATTTATTTTTTCGAAATCGATTATTAAAATAATTCGAATTAGATACAGTATTTGTTTTTTTTTTACATTTTTTCCAGCTGTCATTAAAATATGTGGTGTTGTTAAATAATTTTTGTAAATACATGTGTAATATTTTACAGTGTGACTACGTTTTTTGCGTTTATAAGCTTTGGATAAATACTATTCTTCAAATAAATTTGGGTTAACTGGGAGAAGTTTGTTTAATGTTCTATACAGCGTACTACGGTACTATGAATAAAACATTAAATTGTAAATTTATGTAATAAACATTGAAACGTGAATTTTCCTAGTACGAATTTAAAATTAATAACAATAATATATACAATATTCCCTTTAAATATTATAACAATGTATTTTTACCAAGCATATAAACAGGTGTCAATTAGTTGAGTCAACACTTCTTAATTCTGTATTTTTACTCGTAAGGATGCTATTTTATAAATAAATTACTTATACTTATAAACTCATTGAATATTAATTAACAAGAGTAGTTAAACTAGTTATTAAACTAATCATAATATTTTAACTTTGGTTGGTTAGTTATATCTTTTATAGTTTTATTATTTTTTGAATAAGATGTAAAACATTTATTTTGTAATTTTAATAATTTATTATTATAGGTGTCAATTGGACATTCCCTCAATTTACAAAATGGATTTGAAAATGTTACTATTACAACAGCCAGCAAATGTTAAATAGCAAAGTGTTTTTGTTATGCGGTCATTGGAGTTTGGATGAGATAATTTAATTTCGTGGTTTTACCTAAAGCCTCTCCCCCCCCCCCCCCAAAATCGTTTTTTATTCGTCCACATTTCTCGGTTTACCTAGAACAACACTGGTCCAAAAGCAAACAAACAAGTTATGCACCCAAGGGATGTTATGTACGTCGGCATATTTACCGAAGCAACAGAGTTATTGATCATTTGCAAAAGCTCAATAGTGAGAGAGAGAGAGAGAGAGAATATAAGGGTTTGAAGTTCTAAAAAATTAATCTTTCAATTCGATGAATGTTTACTTGAATGTTGTGTTTGAGGTCGGTAATGATAACGAGGTCTTTGGTCTTGTCCAGTGCAGCTAAAACTGCGTCTTGCTGTGCTAGCATTGATCGCATCGCTACATCTTCTTTTTCTAGCTGTTGCAACTCTTTGATCCATACGTTTTTGTTGCATGTTTCTACTATTATCTGTAATAATGTTTTTTTTACTAAATTAAATTAAATATTATGGTGTACCTAAATGCATATTCGTATAAACATTGTAAAAATATTCATAATATACATTATACATACAGCATCATTCAATATCAACCAAATAATGTGAAACATCGAATTATGAATATTTTAGGTAAACAATATAATCAATAGACAATAGGTTACCATTTTTGAAATTATAAAACTTCACTTCTCTCGTTACAATACATATTTACTATAGAAATATTAAGTATTAAATTAAAAAAATGTAAAACAGAATGGTTGCTTTATACGAATCTTTAACTTGTAAGCTTTAATTGTATTACTATAGTTAACTTGATTTTACTTGATTTCAAATGAATTACAAAAATAGTTTTATACAAAGATCATTTTTTTCTCTAAATATATAAAAAAGTATGTTCGTATACTAAGAAAATAAATAATTTCAACTTGATGATAATAACATTATATTTACCGGGTAGGCATTTAAATATTGAGAAAATTTCTTTAAATGCATGGCTTAACCTTTGAAATAACTTTCCTTGGTTGATATTTGTTTTATAATTGTATCAGACAATGAAAAGAAGTAAAATTAAATGAAGGTTTCTGATTGTTATGAGTTATCTTAGCTTCTTTGAAAGGTTCAAAATGGCCATTATAATATTTTCTTTTCGGTCATCAATAAGAATATCTAAAATATCTGAAGTCGTGTTAAGTTTATTTAAAATTTTATTTTTATTTATAAGGAAATTAATAAAACTTGGGAAGAATAGATAGAATGTAACATAAATCACAAAATAAGTATCCAACTAGGTAAAACTTGTTTTTTTTAAATTCATAAAATATAGTAGGGAGAAGTGATTTTGGTGCAAAATAATATTAAAAATATAAATGATTAATTAAAAAAAAAAGTCTTAGAAGATCGTATCGTCTGTATGCAACTGTATTAATTTATAATAATACAAATACCTCATATATCATACCATAGAGAAAATATGATTCACTACAAATTTCCGTTTTTTTTACTTCATTATTTATGGCATACATCCTTTTTCAGTATTTCTTTTTCCCAGTCAATAAATTAACCATCGAAAATCACTGGGCGTATCAACAATAGCTTTTAAAATATATTGAAGTACAGAAATATAAAGCCTTTAAAAAAGGTTAACTAACCAGTTTTATTTAGCTTATAAAATAATGAAGTAATAATTACAGATAAAAATATTCAAATGATGATAGAGATAATTAAAAAAATGTAATATTAATTAATATCCTATTGTCATTTCGTATGAGAAACATATAAAGCGGCACTTTATAATTCATTTAAATCATTTGAAATAACAATTGCTATTAACACAAGAAAAAATATCAGAAATAGAAAATCGTTATGGATCAGAATCTAAAAACGTTATCTAGAATAATTAACAACATTTAACTAAACCGAACACCAAACGACAAATTTATTTGAGCTTTTAAGTTTAATAATAGTTATTTTAACATAGATAATTTAAAGTTATTGTAGTTTTAAATGAATCAACTATTTTAGGATGAATGGAATGTACATCAAAATACTCTACAATAATAATATTATGCGTGTTAGAAAGTGCAAGATGTCAGTTGCTTGATTGTATTTAAAATGTTTTTCGAATTTATAGAAATTAATAGAAAAATATACAACTAAAATCTTTCAAATTATCTAATAATTTATTATGAAAGTAGAAATTAAGGCCAATCAGATTTTTAAGTGTTTTATAGATGGCCAAATTACTATATTAACCAAATAATTGGGCAGGATGATACGTTTTATCTCTGTTCGATCTACATGTACAAAAAAACAATCCAAGTGAAAAGCTAATAAAGCATTCCCGGAGGTTATTGATAAAACATAAAATATTTAATTAAAATGTTATTTGTTTTTATGAGTTTAACTACTTTAACGTTGTAAACATAATTAAAGCATGGCAATGATATAAAACTAAAATCATATAAACATTTAAAAGCTGCAGTATCTAAATAAAACTATATTTTTTGTACTTTGAATTTTTAATAATTAAGTTTGTTTTAAAGCTCCATTGTATATTATTATAATATTTTATACATTAAATTCCTTTTACAGCTAATGTTAAATACTATATTACTGTAGCCAACTACAACTGATGTTTTTGAAAGTACAGATAAGCAATTTTAAAGGTTACAATGTATAAGATAGTGGTAATAATTAATAAAACAAAATATTGTGAGTTTATATGATTAGTAATGTATAACAAAGAATCATGAATAATATATAGGTAGTATATAGAGTAGTATCTAAGATAATATTTGAAGAAAATAAAAAAAGAACATTCCTTACATGTCGTATGAATATAAAACAATGTATATGGATTATGGATACAATTATCTAAATTAAATTAAAGAAGGTTATGTAGAAATGATTGCATACATTGGGGCATTCTACAAGAGGTTTTATTTTATTCGTGTAAAATTAAATTAAGCATTGGATTGGATAAAATAAAAAATGACACCTACCTTATTAAATCCACTGGTTAAAATTGACGTAACGTCTTTTTCGTTCCTCAACACAAGGCTGAAAAAAACAAATACGTTTTACTTTATCAACCAATGAGGTTTCGCATCATCGCCCGTCGAATTACAGTATAAGTGAAAAGAAATTGATTACCTTTTCCTTACTAAAGCGACAAGTACAACGTGAGCATTCTTTCTAATCGAACGTAACGACCTATGGAAAAAAAACAACATTCAATCAATACTCATACTATACCTATTTAAAATTAACACAAGGAAATATTCAATTCCTAATATAATTATATAAATGTATATTATTTATACATATTATGTTTATTTTATACGCTTCAGTAAGACAATAAGGTTATTGAAATCTAACAGAAGTTTTTTAACTTATACGTAGCCCTATGTATATAATAAGTGTAAAAAATTGTGGCTCGGCGTGGCTGCTGCCAGTCACGGAATGCGACTGGGAGTAAGTAACGGCCACAGCTACTAGCTCCCGGATGGGTGACCACCCGGGTTCATAGTAGTTAAAAACCTTGCCACACATAGACGTGTTTGCTGCCTACCGTAACAACCGTAACAATCGCAAAAAAAAAAACAACCTACCGTACCAACCTTCCCCGTACTACAGTTCATAACCCCTACACAGCTAATGGTCTTAGTAGCCGGGCTTAAGTTCAATAAAAAAAAGGGTATAAATTACTTATTTTAAGATGGATGTACAATTTAAAATGCAGAACATTTTCTTTTTAACCCCATAAAATATTCATAACTTATCTACATGTAGATACCTAAGGTGTTATATAACATCAATGTCTTACATTTATTATGGTTGTATGAGCCGATTAAAATATTTTCTGTATGATAAGTCAAATTCATACGTTTGAGATGTTGAAAACTTTCAGCGAATTTTGTTGATTTTACATTATATTATATTGGAAATGTTAATCTACTTCGATCAACCAACTGAAAACTTCGGAAATCAAGGATCAGTCTTGCCCCCCTCCCCCCCAAAAAAAAACATATATCCTTAAAATAGCTGTGTTATATTTTTACGTGGATACCAATTAAAAAAGTTCTGCAGACAAATATACATGGAATGTCAGAATTTAATAAAATAAATAACGCATGAATATAAATTATATTATGGATTTATAAAATGATATCAAATTGTTTAAATTAAAAATAGACCAAATGGTCTATTAAAATTTAAAACACACATTTGATGTAGTATTTAAATAATAAAAAGAACACTTGAAGCTTTTAAGCATGTATTTATTTTAAGTGAGGTTAGAGTAATAATAATTATACTATAAATATTACAACTGAATTTAAGTTGCTCTTGTTTGTATATGTCTTATTATACCACACTAAAAAATGCGTAAAAGAAATTTATCGTGGATTGGCTGATATTTTTACAAACGCTTAGGGTACAATGGAGCGAAAAACACGATTAAAATCATTTACTCAGTGGCGAATGAACCGCAAAACATGTCATAACATAATGCTAGTATTTGGATCATTAGGCACACTAGTAAAAAGTGAATCAAATGTCTGCTCGAGGATGTTGGGCTGTCCCGAGTGTTCTTTATCTACCGTGACAAACACAAACTTAAGGCCACCACACCGCCTCTTTCGATTTCCGTGCCATGATAACACTCCCCGAAATTCCTTTTTAGGCTGTCTTCACTTCCGAGAAAGGTTGACAAGAAGTGTATTCTAGTGAAATTCTGTCCTTTATTAACTTATTATATTCATTACATTAGTAGCACAATTAAAGTGTTTTTTTTTTTTTTTAATGCATGTTTAAAAACTACTTAAGTGTTAAACAAATATATTGTTTAATATTTCCTATAGGATAAAACTTATTTATTTAATTAATTACCTAATAATACATTAAAATTATGATTTTTCATTAAGTATCACTTATAAGTTATATTTATATGAATTATTATATAGAATAACGTGTTTTAAACAGATTGCCGTAGTATGTTAAATTTATATATCAGAAAATAGGAGTTAAATATTTTCTTATAACATTTTTTTTTAAAATAGTTATAGGAAATCTTAAATTTTAAAAATATTTTATGCTATAAAAGAATAAACAAATAATTTATGGAGGGCCATTTACTTAAATTGTATTTATTACCAATATTTATATTTAATTACAAATAAAATTATTAATTATTAATAAAATCTCTTTCAAGTTTCAATAATTATTAACGATTTGATTTATATGTTGAAAGTTAATTTAAAAAAATACTTATCTTTATCATACTTGAAAAGAAACACAAAAAACAAAAATTTTTTCTTAAATATAATTCCAAAATATAATGTATTACATTATTTAATAATGTGTATGCAATATAGATACATTACATTTTATCGTCTAGGTACATAATCCAAACACAATGTTGGTACTGTTTACTAAATAACTCACATGAGGATTACGATTAACAGTCAGGTCAATGTCAACAGAAAATTAACAAGGGCTCAAGATTTAAGGGATCTGAAGCCCAGGGCTGTTCTTTTAGAATAACCACAGGGATGCTAAATACAGAAGATTTCTACTCGTCCCTCAACTGACTATTCCATTTCTGAACTAATCTTAAAGTAAATAAACACACTAAATATTAACTTATAATATAGCCCAGGGGTACATAGTTTATCACGAGAGAAGTTTTAGCGACATCGAAGGAGAAATGGTTGTAAGACATTTCATTACTGATTAACATCATCTTAATAAAATATTTATTATCATTAGTACTACACAAAGTATTGTTTTTTAAATAAGTTTTCAATATATATATATATATTTTATTCTCGTATTTTGAGTGAACAAGTTCTAAATACATGTACCCTGTATTAAGTTATTAAAGTTTTTTTGTATTAACTTACACATTGAACAGTTTCAGCCTCTTTTTCAATAAAGTGTTAACGTCTTAAGATTATTCTATTGTCAAATTGATTATCTTTGTGTTCATAGTTTACATAAGCTTAAGTTCTGTTTTTTTAAAGCCCAATTAAGTATATTGATATACGGGCATTGAGTTTACATTTATTTTTAGTAAACATAAATTTGAATAAAACCCTCTTACATTTTTTATTTATCCGTAAGTCTTTATTTAAAATATTACTAAACAGTTATTTTAAAGGTTATATCAAGTTTTTTCAACTGGAAGATAATAATATGATTATGATTATAATATCATCATTATTGTTAAAAATGATTTTAGCTACGCCAGATAAAAGAATAAAATATAGAATTTTAGTGGTAATAGCCAATAGGAGGGGAAACCGGGAATTCAGGAGAAGTTTGAAGTAGAATATAAGTTATATGATATATATATAAAAAGGTGAGTAAAATGGGTTGGTATTAAAAAAAAAAAACGGACAGCAAAAAAGGTTGTTGCATATAACACCACATTTGTTTGTTATGTAAGGTAAAAGAGACGAATTAAGCAAATGATGGGGAGAGGGTTGAGAGAAAATTATGATCGAGTCATCGAGACTATTAACACTTCGATAAATAGCCCGTTTCTAAGTGCCCCAGTTGTAGGTTATATTAAACATAAATACCTAATTAAGATGTTTAGGTAGGTACCTAGTTATACAAACATTTAACTTAATTTTCAAACAAAAGCTTTTATGAAAAATTATTTTTTAAATATAATAATATAAAAGTTTTTCGTAAAGTATTTTTTTCAAGAAGTATATATAGATATTAGATACTACATAAATGTTTTTACTTGAAAATTAAAAATACCAAATCAAAATACACTTTTTACATAAATAAAAACGGGATAAATAGAAAATTCACGTTAATTTTTTATAAAATATAAAGTATTGTTAAATAAATATAAGAGTAGTAATTAGTTTAATTTCCTTTTTTTGGTAAGCATTAGATATCGCTGTATATTATAATTTCAACTGTTCGTCTTATATTTATAATTATATTCTCAATTAATGTACTACCATATATTGGAGTAAATTATTGAATATCAATGAAAATGTTGTTATAATATCCCATAACTTCTAGTTAGTTTTTACTTACTTTAAGAATTATTCTAAAAACAAATAAATATATTACAATATATTACAATGTATTACAATACATCATTTTTTAAGTGCATTTGATACAGTAAAAACTACATCGAAAATAACCATAAAATCTGAAAATGTATTATATTTTCATTTGGGTTAAAAAATAAGTCCCAAACATCTTGGAGCAGAGTTGAGATCCAACATTTGAGGCTCATTTTCATTAAGTTCACTTCAGTGGTTTTTCAATTTACACTACATCTTTTGCTAAATGAAACTAACCCTTCTTACAAATGAAATTACTAGATAGAACACTGAACAATATAAGTGTTCAAAATAGTTTGAATAACGAATAACGAATAATGTCTTCATTTATTCACAGAAACCCTGACTATTTTTTAAATTGTTTTTGGACTAAAGCAAAACATATTATTAGTTTTCCATACAAATATTTTTAGACAAAGTATAGTTTTAAATTTCAATTAATTTTATTAATTTTATTATTCTGCAGGACCTATAAAAACATTATGGTTCTTGTTGTGAGGTTTTGAATTGTGAGTAGACCTTTGCAGTCGTCCTTTGATGTTTCTTGTACGATACATTTTTTAAGAATTCTTTTCTTTCAGTTTCATTTACTTTTATTATCTCTTTACATTAGAAATTGGAACAAAGACATAATTTATCGTAAATTTTAAGAATACATCTAAAAAACAGTATAAAAACTGCACGTGTATAAAAAGTAAGTACACCTGTTAAAAAAAACAATTTTAAAATTAAATCATTTATAGACATCAAAATTATAGTATTTTTATCGTCATATTCAAAATTTAATTAATTATATAATATTTTGCCAAGTTAAGAGAAGAGAGACGGATCTGCAATAAAGGAATATTATTATTATACCTATAGCTATTCCAGCTGACAGGATAGCCATTACATTTGTTTATACATTTGATATTCAAATTTTATAAATGTATCTACATTTTATTTTCAAAGACTATAAATATTATGAATTTGTAAATTATTTATTGAATCTTGGACTCGTATTAGAATTTGTACTATTTAACTTAGGAAGTATGTTATCTACAAATACTATTTATAATTGAGTATATTTTATTTAAGTTTGATACCTAAATAATTTATCACTAAAGGTATTATAACAAGCAT